AACCGGTCTGCTCACCCTTGGACTAAGCCTTGGAGAGGGGACGGACCCGTCCTCTCTTTAAGGCTTAGTTCTGAGGTAAGCACCAAATTGTGGCGGTTCTAAGGACCGAGTTGAAGTGGTCCGTCCACCGTCGGGGACTCCATCCCCTCCCCAACATTCAGCATACGGTCCCAGCCGAAGCGCCAAAAGGGCTGGTTTGCTTACGTCGGGCGACATGTGTGAGTTTCAGTACCTCGTGGGGAGGAACGCAGAAATGCCGCACGTCACTTCGGGGACTGCCCCCCCCCCCTCCCAACATGCTCAGCATTTACAAACAGAAAAAATGATTCTAGCAGATAGACACATCCAGTAACCATAAATTCTTATTGCATAGGAATGAACGAAGTTCAATGTGGAAAATTAGTGAAGTAAAAGCCATAAGGTGGAAGTGGTGTAGTGGCAAGTGGCACGCTTACCACGCGAGCGGTCCGGGGATCAAATCCTGGGTCGTGAGTCGCCCGGGCCAACCAAGCCTTCCGGGGTCGGTTAATTGGTACCAGACTTGTCTGGGAGGATAAAAACACTGACTTGTACATCGGCTGTCATTGTATAGGCCACATCGCATTCAAACGCCACTACGAATGTACAAATGGAAGTAGAATGCGTGCCGCATCCCAAAAAGGGATTGATCAACGGCAAATGCTTTATCCTTTATGCTTCAAAGATATCAATAAAAGACAAAGAAGGGGAGCAGAGAGCATCAACATTCAATCTTGGAAACCGTGAGAACGATTGGTTGTAAATGTGCTGTATGAAATAAGGGATGCGATTTCGCAACTTCACAAAACCAGGAAAATTATTAATAAGAGAAAAATGAAATAAACCAAAATCCCACGTGAAAATTAAATTAAATTACGAATGAAAAAAAATACGGCAAACCCTAGATAGTTGTGAAGGCACAAAATGCATAGTACCCATATAGAGTGAACCAAAATGAAAACGAAAAGTAAACTGTTAAGAACACCGCTGGTTACTCGTATTCTCTCAGACAAGTAGACAGTAGTTTCGTTTTGAGAAGCAGTGTGTAAAAAAGAAATAGTTGCACCATCGGAAAATTGTATTATTCAATACATAGAAAAGTTCACTCACCAAGAGCAATACCTTCGTCTGTCCTCACTTGCCGTTGGTGTTGCAGGTCGCATTTGTTTCCAACAAGGAGAATGGGCACTTGCTCTGTTCCCTGGAATGAGCTCTTATTATTATTACAGCATGAAAACTCTGACAGAATAGAGAACACACCTTAACCCGCACAATTTGTTCACGCATTGTTTTGATGTCATGGAAGGTTTGCTGGCTCGTTATCGAATATACTACAACGAAACCCTGTAATTAAATTCAAACACTGCGATTCTGTATTGTTTGAAAACAAAGTAAAAAAAAAAAACAAGAGAAAAACAATTTCACGATAGAAGTTATTGATTTACGGATTACATTGCTGTAAGTCGTAACACTTCGAATTTCTTTCGAAAATTACACTTTTGAAGCAACAAAATCGCACTGTTAATGTATATAGACTCTTGCTCTTGATCTCTGCTACAACCTGTTGAAATTCTTTTGTTCCATTATTTGACACTATTCAACCACTACAATCCCCAAAAGCTCAAATAATATATGTCGGAACTTTGCCCATAGGGGCACAGTTTCGACAAAAATTCTGTGCCCTGATTACAAAAATGACATTTATTTTTGACGTTGGCGCCATCCGGCGCACAAGAGCTGATTTTACTAAATTCGCTGTGAAATTTGTACATAGAGGTTACTTGGGGTCCCGATTACGAATCTAACATTTATTTTGTCACTGGCTCCACTTGGCGAGTATTTCCTGCTCTTCTACAAACTCTAACTGTAAGTCGCGATCTAGGAGTATTCATCCTTCTCCATGGGTTGGGGGACGGAAATCCCTTTAATTTATTTTGTTTTTAACGATGTAGTTTCTTCATTTTCATGCATGCTTACTGTGACATACGTACATACATTAAACCTAGCCCTTTATCAGGACAATCCCAGTTGGGAAGACGGAGAAAATTTAAAGGGTTTTTTCGTCCCCCAACCCCTAGGGGAAGGATTGAATACCGCACCTCAGCACATGCTTCTTTCCACCATCGATGACAATGCAGCCACCGGTAGTAGCAACTGACCAACTCGGCGACCATGGCAATTTACTTGTGGCTGCAGGTTTCAATTAATTGGAGAAGCCTTACTTTCATTAAAAAGAACCTTCATTAACCCTCTGCCCTCTATGCAGCTGGTCAAGAGAATCTCCCTCACTCGAATTTTATTGAAAAAATCTCTGACCTGCTGACAAATATTTGCGCCAATCCTGCCGTCCGCGATGGTTAAGGTGGAGGCGTTCCGCCGGTGAAGTGAGGCCACCCACCTCTGTGATTTCATATAGCTTTAAACTTTTCAGACGGTGCCTCTGGTTCACACCACTCCCCTCCGATTCCCCCTATCCCCCAAGCTTAGTTTTAGGTAATACGCATAAGTGAGAGAGCCTAGGAGGACGGCAAATATGCGTTAAACAGCGCAAACGCCAAAAGCGAATGTCATATTCGTAATTGTAACCTATATACAAGTATGCGTAATGTAATCTCAGTATACAAGTTTACAGTGACTTTGGTGAAAACAGCCCTGGTGCCAAATGGCGCCAACGCTTAAAATGAATGTTATTCCGCAATCAGGGGAATGGACTCCTGTGAGGAAAGCTTTCGACGAAAATCAAATTTAGAAGTTTTGGGGTTATAATAGTTGAATAGTGCGCATTATTTTCATTTTGGTACATACGATGGGTCCTCAACCATCAAGATAGCAGAAACAGTTTGATAGCCGAAACAGAACAGATTTTACACGTTGACAGTCCCAGGAATAAAAAAGAAAATATAACCGTTGCAAAGTACTACATGTGGTCAAAAAATTCACAAGCTCAGTGGGAGATTTTCATGAGGCCGTACGCTAGCCTTCTTCCGGAGGGACACATCGTTCTGCTCCGATGCTATCATGGGCCATAGGTTATCCTCTAAAAAAGAGGGATGTTTGGAATTATCTCGCCTTCCTTACTATATTTCCTTAGAAAAGGGCCTGTTCCTAAATAATGTAACTATGGCATTGAAATTCATTCATAAAGGTCCACGACTACATTTTTGTTGTTCTTCTAATCTAACAACGGGGAATGAATAGCATACAGCTCCCAAGGCTGAGGGTGACAGAGTTGCTTCATAAGATCCGCCCTAGCTCTGCGTTTCTACCTTGCTCACAGCTCACCGCGTGACTCCACAGGGATCAGTGCTCGAAGTCACCACAGAATAAACCGTTTAAAAACCGCAGGGTGGGTAGCATCAAAGGAGGAGGACACTTCCCTAGAAGGATAGGTCCCTGCTATAACTCAGTGGAATAAATTTTACTGGACGGAAGGAGTGCTAGATGTATTTTCATTTCATTTAACATACTTTGCGAAGCACAAGGGCAGGGTCTATTGATGATATTCCCGAAGGCCTAGGGGGAGGGGGAGGACCGAGTGTAGTTTGATTGCAAAATTATCTAACTAAACAAACTCAATTGCTGCCCTGCATGAAAATGAAAGAACTGAAAAATGGACCATACCTGGCCATTCTTGATGTACAAATCACGCATAGATGAAAACTGCTCGGTTCCAGCAGTATCAAGTATTTCTAACACACAGGGTTGACCATCGACCTTGAAGAGTAAGGACAAAATTAAGTAAAAACCTTCAAAACTCACAAAGGAAAATTTGAGTGCGTATCAGTCGTAGCAAAGCAAACTTAAAAAAGAGAAATAAGCAATTGAGTGATCCGTACCTCTATTTCTTTCCTGTAAAAATCCTCTATAGTAGGGTCGTACTTTTCAATAAAAGTACTGCTGACGAACTTGAACTGTAAGAGCAGATTTACCCACACCTCCGCTCCCCAAAACAACCACTTTGAATTCACGCATCTGAAAGCAAATAAAGTAGACTGACACATATTTGTTTTCATAAGCAATAGGGCGAGACGACGACAAGTATTCTAGCAAAAAAAGGGTATAGTACGATGAAATAAGTGAAGAAAAGGAACGAAATGTTTCGTGGAGACGTTGATCGATATTTATTTGAATAACCTTTGTTAGCTCCTGTGTTACACAACGCGCAACAGAAACTAGTTTAACTTCGTATACACAACGCGCAACAGAAACTAGTTCACAGCATAAAAATCAGTAAGGTTGTCACAGTGGAATTCCATGTGCTTCGCTTTGGCGATACACCCGTTGACGACTTTTTCTCAGAAGTCATCCTAGCCGTGCATTAGTCCGTTTCAATGACACCTTAGTGTAATACGAGGGCGGTAACAATTCACTGATAAACAAAACATTTGCTGGATATCGAAATTGCGCTCGGTTCGAAATGAAACACAGCTTCACGGAACGAATAGAGAGGACAACAGAGAAAGAAAATGACTTGGGAGAACGTTTGGCTCACAAGCGCCGACTCGAGTGTTTGCTTTGGAAACGGTCAACCTGCGAAATTTCTGAAGTACCTGTTGCAACAAAGGTTTTCTTCTGGTGAGCTGCCAGGAAAAAAGTGGAGAGATATAGCGGGAGAGGTGCTTGTGTGCTCAAACGTGTCATTCCACTATATCGAACTCGGGGAAGAAAGGACGGCTTTGCGATCACCGCCCGCGACGATCGCGTGCGGCGGACCGCGGCGAGCGCCTCTTTGAACGGTTCGTAAACAGCATTGTTCCCAATGAAATTGGGTGCTGGGTGGATCTCCTACTGATCCTCCTAAAACCTCCCAGAGGGAAGAGGCTGTGTGCGGTGCAACACAAGTGGAATGAGCACGACGAATTTTTGTAATACGGTATCGTGAAATGTGTGTAAGTGGGGACTGCTGGGAAAGGGACAGGCTAGAGCGCAGAGGCGGTAAGGCTGAGTTCAAGTAGTCCGTCAACCCGACGTGACGAGACGCTATGAATGAACTCACAAGTCAAGCTTTGTCACGCATTTAAAGCAACAGTTCAGGGAGGGTCCGAAAATTTCAATGCCACTACTACTGAGGGATACACGAGCCCTAGTGAAGAACATATGCAGTGGAAATAATAAACGAACTTACCTCAGAAACTCAAAAACAGGGTGGAAAGTCCCTCAAACATGGGTGTTCTTGGGGATTTCCCCAATCCCGCCCCCTTGCCGGCCGTCATTGGACGCGTCGGCAATCGTGCTCGTTTTGGGACCACAGGGAAAATTGATTGAAAAATGGAGCGCGTTTACAGCGGGCACGTTCAGACAACTCGTCCAACGTGCGTCTTTATCCATTGCTGAGCGGCAGAGGGAGAGTACCTGTCTAAGACCCTCCCCGACGTTTTTTTCCAGTTTTTCATACATTAATCGTCTGGTTTTCATCTACAACTTCATTATTGGTGGTTTTTTCCCGCGAAACCGTTCCTGAACTGTTGCTTTAATTGTCTGCTCCCATCCTCACCCCCTATATTGAAGTTACACTCCCCTGGCTCATGAAAGTCCTCAGAATTCTTTCAAACCAGTAGTTACGCAGTGGTCCAAACCTTATACCCTAGTAGTAATCAAACAGTACGGTGCGTCCCGGTGCTGTCTTTTGGGGGGGGGCACCGGCGGCGGCAGGCCTCTGTTCGTCTCCTCCTCAAAAGGCTAGTCCAGGTGCAGTTACGCTGCATACAAGTAAGCGTAAATTTTTTTTTTTTTTTTTTTGTTGCGTATTCGGAGAAGAGAGGTGGTAGGTGTGGGTCTAAGACTGTTGCCCGCTGCTGTACTGTCACCAGAATCGGGGAATTCGTGAGCCAGGGGGAGTGTAGCCAATCTAGGGGGGTGGGGGTGAGGGCAGCCACTTGACATGCGTGAAAAGCTGGACGTGCCCATCCCACTTGTATAGAGCCGCAGTTACTATTTCGCCATCAGGCCGACGTCATACTTGCGAAATCAGCGAATCGTAGACGTCATTGACACTACATTCGCTAGCCGAATCGCGTGACTGAGTATCGAGCAATCGGCGTACGCGAAAATTCGGTTGTATCCATTCCTCGGAAATCGCTAGGTACGCGAATCGCCAAGCGAATCGGCTGCGAATCGCTAGCGAATCGCTCGAGTCGAGCGAATCGCTAGCGAATCGAACGATGCTGCACCAGCGATTCGAACTGGGTACCAGCGAATCGAACTAGGTACCAGCGAATCTTGCATAAAGCTTGAAACTAGGGTGTTAGGCTAGGTTTTGAGTGAGTGTGTGGTTGCCGCCGGACAAAGAGCCTTTGGTGAGGCCACACAACCTCCGAATTTCGCGTTTTACTCCCCTATTTCGTCCACTATAGGTACTCGTTGACTGGTTTATACAAGGAGTAATTAAATTATTCGATCATGTCAGTCAATATCTAACACCGTTGGGCTTCATTCAAATTCAAATGGACTACAGTGCCGCGGCAGTAATCTTTGTACATCGGCGTCTTTGATTGATCTTAATTGATAGAGGATACAGGAAAGCTCACTGATAAGGACTTTTTCATATGATGAGGGGCATCTCGGAAATGTTTGCCTTCAAGTATCTGCGCCAAAAAATAGAAACTTGACGGCCAAGTTCAGGTTCCTATCATGTAGTTCAGAAACTCCACTGCGTATCATGAGCAAACCGTCCTTTCCCTAGCGAAAAATGCCCAAATTAGCCTACCGTCTTTTTTTTTCGCTCGAGTGCCAACTCGTTCAACGCTTAAAACTTACAATGTTCTCTCTGTGTTTGCATTAATGAGACCTTCCATGAACATTCTCAGTTTTCCTTCTGACATCCCCTCTGAATGGAAACCGTCCATTTCACACAGTTCAAACTTTTACAGCTATTGTGGGGACTGATCGCAACTATAATCACTTATGGGGTACGTCAAATTCTTGAAAGCTTCACATGAGTCTTATGCTTATTACCATTGGATGTTTCTACGTACGCTCCCAACTAGTCGCTCCCAACTTCTATCAATTGCACATCACTTCCGATGCCGGACACGTCTGCCCAACTTCCGGATATCGACTGTACTACCAAGTCCATGCAGGTGATAACCGACTAGAGTTTGTAGTTCCAGAGCAAAACTTACAAGGATCCTCTTTTCGTACTCATCTGAGCTGTAGAATCACACTTCAATATTGTAAATGAATTATCAGCAGAAACACTTTTAGATCAAATTACATTTCTCATAACAAAAGTACAAGCTAAGAACACTGCTGTAAAGCGGACAACCTCAAACAATACGAATTTTTACAAATCACTCGCTAACATCTAAATAGTTTGCATTACTAAGGCTAAGCTCTAATGATTCATCTATTTCAGCTCTTGTTGATACCCTACACGAAGTCTTCCCTAACAGATTGGGCAGGCAGCCAAGAACGAGCCCAAAGTACTATTCATTTTCCTTCATCATCCAGTTCTTGAGCACACATGCAACTATCTACAGACCCGACCAACTTCTGTAGAACCCCGAAGGCGGCTATAACCCCTATACACGATCTTATTATTAGTCATGGTTGAAAAAGCGCTTTTTATCAAAATTTAGACAGACCATTAGACCAGTTCATGTGTAGTCCTTTACAATACTACATTATTACGACCCTAGCGGGAGAAGGAGCAAGTAGTAAAAAGCCACCACGTGACGTGACGCCGCTGCGGATTCGCGAAACAGCTTTTTCCATCGAATTGTGATGGTAACGACTCCAAAAATGAAGTTATATTCGTAATGATAACCGCTATGACTCGTATTGGATAAGTTTTAAGGCGATACTGCTGCTCTTCGTGAGATAGCATTGCCGCAGCAATATCGAATCTGCTGATCCAATAACCCCCTCAAAACTGCATAGCATTGCCGAAATTTTGCTGTGCCTAACACCCTAGTTTCAAGCTTTATGCAAGATTCGCTGGTACCTAGTTCGATTCGCTGGCACCTAGTTCGAATCGCTGGTGCATCGTTCGATTCGCTAGCGATTCGCTCGACTCGAGCGATTCGCTAGCGATTCGCTCGATTCGCTAGCGATTCGAGCGATTCGCTAGCGATTCGCTCGAATCGCTCGAATAGATCTTAGTTGCTTTTTCTATCTCTGATGGTATTGTCTGCCAAATCGTTTGAATACAAACTTTCCGTCGATAGATTGGTGGTAAGTTTGGAGGAGAAGTTCCCCTAAAAAGGCTTAGTCCAACGATTCTCCCTAGAAGTAGATCGGTGCCACTCCAGTCCCCACGTATCACACCTGCCGTATCCAAAAAGACGGCGTGACTATCAGCATAGTCAACCGGAAGCGGTTCAGCTTCAGCATTAGGACGGATGCTGATCTTTGTGTATGGGCCAGCTTTGTTTCCCACATAAAATGTGTCGTAACTGCAGACTTAGTGATGGCGTGGCGCGGTCTCGAAATCGAAATTCGCGTGCCTTTCATGATGTTTTAGATGGTATACGAAGCTATATACGGAACGAACAATAATTCTGCAAATGCGGTGTCCTAGGCGTTTGAAGCAATCCATGCGAAGTGAAGTATGCAAAGGTGTGTCTACGTAAAGCTATTTAACACATTGCGTACCAAGCCGTTTTTGCGCTGGCGAGCTCGCCTGGCCGCGCATGCATTCGCACCGTGCGCCACATGGTGGCGCATGCGGCCACACGGGACAGATATTTTTCAAAATCCTTTTTAGAGGGTCCTTTACCACTTTGTTTTTTTTATTGTCTTGCTAAGTCACAATTTTGTTAGGACTACGTTATAATTTTTGCCTATTTGAATTGTCATGAACATTCCAAGTGGCTATCGAATGATTATATAACAGCGGTAGTGAGGGATCAAAAAATCTGCTCTGACCAAGTTCTGGTGAAAAAAAGCGATGGCAACAAGTTCGTTCCTTTACCCCACAACCTGCTTAAGCATGTTTATTGAACAGCAATGAGGTTTATTCAGTTTACAGGAT